TCAGATTCACTTGGCTTACCTTGGCATTTCTCAAACTTATTAGGATCCCCCCCTCCCCCAAATAACTACTAGCTCTTTAGGGTATGATGTGGGAGACAATGTCTTACCTTCCGGTTAGAGCACCTTGATCTCGCATTTTGGATTGGCTGGACTCCTGTTCAGATCGCCCTGCTGTGTGAAGGGAGAAACATGGGATAGGGTACCAGACTCTGTCACTGCCACCTTGGTCCATAATGGAAAATCCATTCCTCAGCTTAGATGACATTGGGGGGTAAAAAAAAGATGATGGTGAGATACCTTAGTCTGTTGAAGCATTGCCTTGAAATTTTCTATTTTAGGTGGTGATGGAACAGAGGCAGACTCTAAACGCAAGTTTTGTTTTTCATGTTTTGTATAAAATCCCAGGAACTCTTACAGCTCTCTACAAATGATCAATAACTATAATAACCTTCTGCCATAACAATATTTCAAAGGGAAATGCCAGAGTGGAGTTTAAATACACACACACACACACACACACACACACACACACACATGCTGCATGGTAATGTATGAGCAGATTAAAAGGATATGTTTAATTTATAAGCCCTACTCTGATTAAAAATGATAGATGTGGAAAGATCGCTAACGGATAATGTTCATACTCAATTTGCAATAATTGCACATTTCTTTCATCAAGACACATATCTAATATAATCTCCCAAATCCCCAAATACACATACAAATAAAGTCCAGTAAATGACATCAGACAGAATAGGATAAAAATTCTGCTCCTAAGAAGATTCAGAATACTCTAGGGTCTAAATCAAAATGCACAGAAGCAAGCCTAGGTATCTGCAAATAATTTTGTAAGAGCATCATTTCCCTCCAATTGTTATAATACACATTTCAAATGTAGAAAAAAATTGGAGGCATAGTCCAATAAATAGTCATCACGTACCGTGAACATTTTGCCAGTTTTTACTTTGCATTCTGTGTATGCACACATGTTTTAAGTAGGTATATACAGTACATCGAGGGCATGACTGAAAAGGACATTCTCCCATTATCTTGCCTAAGAAAATTACCAATAATTCTCTAGTTCCTTCTGACACTGCCTCTAGAGTCTAATTTCTCCAGGAAGCGATCTAGGTTTACATATTGCACTTGGTTGTGTCTCTATTATCTTTACATCTAGAATGTTCCCTCTACCGCCTACATTTTTCTCCCCTGATACACTGATTTTTTGATGAGACCTTTATCTTGTAGACTGTCCCCAGAATGGCTTTGTCTGTCTGTTTGGGGCCATTTAACTCATTCCTCTGTTCCCTATACTTCTGGTAAAGTAAAAATTAGGCTTGCTACTTGGGGAGGTAGAGGCGGTGGGTTACCTGAGCTCAGGAGTTTGAGACCTGTCTGAACAAGAGCAAGACTCCATCTTTAAAAATAGCTGGGCACTGTGGCAAGTGTCTGTAGTCTCAGTGACTTGGGAGGCTGAGGCAACAGAATTGCCTGAGCCCAAGAGTTTGAGGTTGCTGTGAGCTATGATGCCACAGCAGAACCACTGTTAACATTTTAATGTATTTACTTTTAGACTTTTTTTTCTATATAGGTTTGCATAGTGAATTCTGTCTCACCGAAAATAAAATCTGTATCATAAATATTTTTCCGTATCATCTCAAACTTTTTATAAACCTTTTAAAAGTCACTAGATAATCTTTCATAGTGCAGTAATCCTACTGTCGGACATTGAAGTTATGTTTCATATTTTCCCAGTATGGATAATATCATGGAGAATATCTCTATCTATATAAATATTTTTCTCCTTTAAAAATTATATTCTTAACAGAAGTAATGGGGCTGAAGGGAATTTATTTTTTCCATTTCTCTCTTGATTATCCAAGTAAGATGAGCTTTCTATTGACAAGTAAAATATAATAAAACTGGGAAAGAAAAAAATCATTCAGGTCCTCCACCCGGAGGCAACTGATGTTAGCATTTTCATGTGATTTCTTCTGATGTATGCAGTTACAGGATTTTCTTTCTTAGCAAGATATAAGGATGTGAGTATTTTAAGGCTTTTGATGATATTGCCAAAATTGCTTTCAATTTATCAATTTATCCTCCTCCTGTATTAGTTGAGACTATTCTGAAAACTCCAACATCTAAAAATGATCAAATAAGCATGATTATTTCAAAACTTTCCAAGATTATGCTTTGGCTTGTTGAAAATCTGTGAATGTGAAAAAGGCCATAAAAAAGTGTTGTACGGACAGGGCGCTGTGGCTCCCGCTCCTATCTCAGCACTTTGGGAGGCTAAGGAAGGGGATGGTAGAAGTCAGCAATTTGAGGCCAGCCTAGGCAACATAGCAAGACCCCCATTTCTACAGATAATAAGAAAAATTAGCCAGGCTTGGTGGCACATGCCTTCAATCCCAGCTACTTGGGAGGCTGAGACAGAAAGAGTATATGAGCCCAGGAGTTCAAGGCCGCAATGAACTATGATCCTATCACTACACTCCAATCTGGATGACAGAGCAAGAACCATCTCAAAAAAAAAAGACTGTTACCTGGAAACCTCATCTCCAGCTTTTGATCTTTTGATCTGCTGGTCTACCGTTCTGAAAGGATACCTTTGTTAATGATGTTCAGCTGGGTTTCAGTAGGGATATTTGAAAATGTTTATTTAAAGAGTAGTTGTGGAAGTCAGCTCACTGGATTTTCTAGATGAAGATAGGCCATTGGTCATTTATTAATAGATAAGAAAAAATATTCTTCTAGTTAGGGATTACCAATCTTTTTCATGGCATGGCACAGATACTATGATATTATGTTCTATCTGAGCCCTATAGTCCTGGTTTCCCCTGGCTGCCCTGAAGGCTGAAGGGTCAAGGTCACAGTCTCCTGTTATCCATTTCTGGCCTATCCAGGTCAGCTCTGTATTCTAGGGAACCTGGAGGAACAGGTCTGATGTCATCAAGTACATATCTTTCTCTTTTTTAATGCTGTTTCTCTAGTCCCCTCCCCCTCCCCCCCACCTATTTTTGGCACTGATAATAAAAGGACTTTATAACTGGGGCACATCACCTCAGTAGAAAGGCAGTTGTCCTTCTTAATCTTCTGATCCTACTTCTTTGCTGTTCTCCGCAAAATATGCTTAATTCCTATTCCAAAGTTTTATCTATTTGATTTTTTCACCTTAAGTCATTCATAATCAACTGAGTTATCTTATGTACCAGGCACTGAGAACAGATAGATGGCGAAGACAGCTCCTGACTCTGAGGCGTTCACAGGCGAATGGAGGAAAAACAGGAATGGCAGGGCACGTGACACACCCTTGGATAGTGGCAGGTCCAAAAGTTCCTTGGCGTTGTCCCTGGGGCAGGTGGGAAGGCTTCCAGAAGCAATGGCATTTTAAGTGTGATCTGAAAGGGAGGTGGAAGCTAGACCTCCACTCAGGAAACAGAGTGACTGGGTAAGAGACAGAAACCTGTGGTTTTGAGAAGTGGGAGAGCTTATTGGTTGCCTGGAACACCAATTCCAGTCAGGACCTGGCTGAGTGACAGAGGCCGAGGATAGAAGGGAAGCTAAAGTGAGGCAGACCGGGTTTGGAAGGGCTTTGTTGCATGGAAAAGTTAGGACTTGTTATAGACTGGACCACTGGAAAAGATTTTTTTAAACTGGAGACTGACATCTACGAACTTGTGTTTTTAGAAACTGCTTTCCCAGCACTGTGGAAAATGGAGTTGGGGATGGGTAGGGAAGTCATCAGGAGGCAGCTGCAACTTGGAAAGAAGAAGAGGTGAAGGTTTGGCCTAGGGCCCCGGAGCTGGGGGTGGGTGTAAGGATGGCTGCAGGAGTATGGGACGGGTCAGGTTGGGCAATAAGTAAATGGTGAGCCATTAGCAGAGACAGAAAACGGGCTTTACCCCACTGTTCCAGCTCTGTAAATCCAACCCACCCATTTGACCCAGCCCTAGGCCCTCCTGTTTGCAAACCTTTTTCTTGTATCTTTGTCTCCTAGAGGCTGCTCCCTTCCCTGGGTAGCCATTCTGGTATTCAGCTGTGGACAGTTTGCTCTCTAAGCAAGAGGTTACCATTTCACATGTGTTAGGTTTGTCTCCTGAGCTGGATTGTAGGATGGTTCTCAGGCCCAAATCTCACGCTTCTGTGATGTCCATCTCAGCGACTATCTCACGGGGTTGGGTATTTATAAAGTGCAGCAGGCAGTGGGGCTAGAGCTGTGCTTGTAAAGGAAAGCTTCAGTATAAAATACATGCCAAGCAGAACTGTCAGGTTAATACAGGGGTACAATCCACAATCCAGGACCCCTGGAATCCTCTTATTCTAAGCAGCAACTTCCAAGAACTGCCAGTGTCTGTAAGGCCCCATGAGACACAATTTGAAAACTTTGGCTTGGACGGATCATGGGTGTCAGAATAGGATGAATCTGAATTCGAATCCCTGCTTTGTCACTTAGCTGTGCTAGAGTAGACAAATGAAGAAACGGCACTTCTCTTTCCCCTCTGTAGAACAGAGAATGCTTTCCTTGTAGGGTAACTGTGAAGACAAAGTAAGATAATGCAGGCAGCGATCTCTGGCACTTATTAAATGCTCACCAGATCACAGTTGTTATTGGTAACAATAACAAGTCACTTGTTAACTGATTGAGTATCTGATCCTTATTGAATCGGCACCTGTTTAGTATAAGTAAATTGATTCAGCCCCAGGTTAAGAAAAGCCAAGGTTGAGGTGAAGTTATGGATGAGCTTGGAATTATGAGAACAACCAACCTCGTCTTATGTTCCTTCCACTCCGTAAACCCACAATCACCTGCCTTTTCATGAGGGTCTATCAATATTTAATGTACGGGTGTCAGTTACTGTAAATTGACCATCCCCTAGCAACAACTTGAATTAATTATATGCAGGAGACAAAATAAAATGCCTTTTCCCCAGAGGCCCAAGTTCCACTGGCTACATAGAAGCCTGGTAACCACAGTGAACTTTCTTCTTCTTCTGATGGAGGACAGTGAGAAGAAGCTGAATCAGAAGAGCGATGGCAAACCCCGGAAAGTACGATTTAAAATCTCCTCCTCCTACAGTGGCCGAGTACTGAAGCAGGTCTTCGAGGACGGGCAGGAATTAGAATCACCAAAGGAAGAATACCCTCACAGTTTTCTCCAAGAAGCCCTTGAACCAATGGATGGTGTTTATGGGTCTGGGGAAGTTCCCAAGCCCCAGCTGTGCTCCCCTAAGCTGACTGCTCAGAGGATCAGTGTGTTCAGAGAGGGCAATGCCTATACCTTGGCAGGCAGCCAGCCTCTGTTCAACGATTACAAGATGAATGACCACAAGGTTGGTATTGTGCATGACATGTAAACTCTAAGGGCAGGCTTCAGACTTGTAGCTTGCTCATGCCCCAGTGCCAGCCAGAGCTGTAGGCACTCCAAATGGGAAGTCGCTGTTAGAAAATATCCGGGACAAAAATAACGTGCTTGTTGACTCTCATTGGGAGGTGCAGTGAACATGTATCATATTCAGATTCCATCCAGGGTAATACATTGTAATTGGATCTTTGGGTTTTCTCGGATGTAAATTAAACCGAGGCGCAGTGGTTTTCACGTTGCCAGACTGCCCTTTTAGAAAATTATGCAGAAGTAGGTCGTTTTGTTTCCTGAAAGAGCTGAATGTTTGAAGATGCTCATTTTATTCCAGCCAATTATTTAGCTTGTGGTTTACCCATGTCTTATTCTTTACCTCTATGGCCTTCCTACTATCTGCTTTTAAAGAATGTTTATTTATTTATTTTGCTTTTCCATTGCTCATTAGCATGAAATGTGGGTAGTGGAATCCTGGGAAGAGATGGTGAAAAGGAAATAAGCCCAGGGAGACGTTACATGGGGAAGAAGTTTGAACTAATACTTCAGTCGAAGCGCGTGTTTAATCTGTGAATTTCAATTACTTCCCTGATTCCATGGATAATCAAAAGCCCACACATGATTTTCCTTTAAGCTTAAAGAATCTGGAAAATATTCACTGATGTCCAAAATTCATAGGAGATGTGTATATCTTCTCTGTCAGTGGGACCATGAATGCCTTTTAAAAAAGATTAAATACAATTATATAATGTATCCACACTGTTAATGAATAGCACACCAGGCTGTGTTCTCATCCTTAAAGTGTGAAATGCAGATAATTAGCCTCTAATTATTTTTATTGTTAGTTTCCTAAGGGAATAGATAATGTATCTATTGCAGACAAATGTATTATTGGCTTTGCTGGCATTGGTAAAATTATGGGCATGTCCACAATTATCAAAGATAGTACCAGGTTTCTTTTCACTATTGAAGGGGCTGGGATGAATGTTAATGGGGTGACTTATGCCTTACAAAGTGCTCTTACATACTATTCTATCTATTTCTAGCACATTCTGTTTTTCCTGTGACCTGGAGAAAGAAAGCAAAGTATGGTCCTTCTCATTTTGCACATAAGGAAAATTGAGGGCTGAGTTGTATTTTTTTTTTTTTTTTTTTTTGAGACAGAGTCTCACCATGTCACCCTCAGCAGAGCCCCGTGGCGTCACAGTTCACAGCAACCTCAACTCTTGAGCTCAAGCAATTCTCCTGCCTCAGCCTCCCAAGCAGCTGGGACCACAGGTGCCTGAGAGTACAGAGTTTTTAAGGGCCCTACCTGATATTTACAAGGTGATTGGGTGCAGAATCATAAGAATCTGGTGTAATTCCTCATACTTTTTGCTTTAGGGCATGTTATTTTTCAGGGAACACAATTATTACATAGCAATAGTGATGATGATAATAGCTCTTACCATATATTAAGTACTTATTATGTGATGCACTTACAGTATTTCTTTTCAATTATATCTTATTTGTAGGTTTAGAATTTACAAAGTCACAGTTCATGCAAAGCTGTACAAGGCTATGGTAGATAATTTTGGATTGCTTGACCTTCATAAGTCATGTGCCAAACTTGGCATTCATATAAATGTAGGGTTTAACATGGATTTATACACCTAGGTAAACAAGTCTTTGTTGAAGCGTGGCTCACTTGGTTAAAACACGGTGCTCTAGAGACAATGTTGAAGTTTTAGTTCCTGCCTGGTCCAGTTATCCTTGTTTGCTTTGTCGCCTAAGCCAGTGCCCCATCCCAATCTTAGCTGACCTTTGAGTATGTGAGGGTATCCAAGATGGATTCACGTAGCATCCTCCACTGAAACACTCTGTCAATGTGGTATTTAGGAAAGATGAGAACTGAGATGTTGTGATTTTTCAATAGTTAATCTAATTATAAAACAATGGGGTTATGAGACCCCATGAGGTAACATTTAAGTGTAATGATTCAAAGCAAAGGCTCTGCACTCAAACATATCTGTGCACCATTGTTTATAACAGTATTATCCATAATTGCCTAAAGGTAGAAACAACCCATGTGTCCATTTGTTGATGAATGAATATACCAAAAATGTGGTATATACATGCAATGAAATATTATTCAGCCGTAGGAATTATTTTGGAATTATTGGAGGGACAAAGGAAGGACATTTTGACATATGCTATACCATAGACAAATCTTATATGTGAAATAAGCCAGTCACAAAAAGATAAATACCGTATGATTCCACTCATATGACTTACCTAGAGTAATCACCTTCATGGAGACAGAAAGTAGAATGGTGGTTTCCAGGGGCTCCGGGTTGGGGAGAAGGAAGAACTATTGTTTAGTAGATGCAGAGTTTGAATTTGGGAAGAAGAAAAAGTTCTCAAGAGGGATGGTGGGGATGTTTGCACAACCATGTGAATGCAGTTAATGCCACTGGACTGGACACTTAGAAACGGTTGAAATGGTAATTTTTATGTTATGTACATTTTACCACAATAATAATAATGACTTAAAACAACCCAGGGACTCTGATGTTAGTCAAACCCTGCCTTGGGCTGATCTCAGAACTCTGGGAGGGTCGCTTGAGGCCGGAAGTCTGAGGCAAACCTGTGCAGTATACTGAGCCTCTGTCTTTTTTAAAACTTCAGATTAATATGAGGGTACAAATGATTGGGTTCCCATGCTTGCCTGTTCTAGGTAAGGTCCTTGTGGTAGTTGTGTCCTGCACCCAGGAGGTGTGCCGTATGCTGTTACATTGTGCTCATTAGGTGAGAGCACATCAATCCCCCTCCTTCATTTTGTCTCCCCCCGCCACTTGAATTAAATTGGTTTTTTTTGTTGTGTAGGTATGTATTAGTTAGTCTCCTGGTTTCATAGTAGTATTGAGTACATTGGTACTTGCTTTTCTATTCTTAGATAATTTACTAAAAAGAATGTTCTCCAACTCAATCCAGGTTAATACAAAAGATGGAAAGTGTCCATCTTTTTTATGGCTGAATAGTAGTCCATGGTATACATATACCACAGTTTGTTAATCCATGAATGGTTGATGGGTACTTGGGTTGATTCCACAACTTGGTCATTGTAAATTGGGCTGTGGTAATTGAGTGCAAATGTCCTTAACACCCTGTATTTACAAAAATATTTTTTAAAAATTAGTCAGGTATGGTGGCTTGTAGTCCCAGCTGCTTAGGAGGCTGAGTCAGGAGGATCACTTGAGCCTAGGAGTTCAAAGTTACAGGGAGCCACTGATGGGGCTGCTGCACTCTAGCCTGGGTGACAGAGAGAGACCCCATCTCAGACGACAACAACAAGAACAATAAAGCCCAGGCTTTCTACCCATTTACTGTGCAAGCTTGAGCAAACTACTTAACCTTGCAATGCTTCAACACCATTATCCATGATATGAGGGTAATAAAAGTGACTACTTAAAGAGAGTTATGTGGTGATTAAAAAGATAATACTTAAGAAGCTCTTAGCATTGTGCTTGGCACACTGGTATATGTGCTCAGCAAATGTTATCCACAATTGACATAAAGAGCAGGTTCTGATCCAAGAAATGTTTAGTCTTTTGTTTTCTGTGATGGGTAGAGAAAGTAGCTATAAATAATCAAAATAGTTTAAGGAATTAAAACCAACTGAAGGCTTGGTGCCCATGCTCAGTGGTTAGGGAGGGTTAAAACCTGGCCCAGGCCTGCTAAACAACAATGACAACTGCAACAACAACAACAAATGGCCGGGCATTGTGGTGGGTGCTTGTAGTCCCAGGTACTTGGATGCTAATGTAAGAGAATAGCTTAAGCCCAAGAGTTTGAGGTTGCTGTGAACTGTGACGCCATGGTAATCTATCAAGGGTGACATAGTGAGACTATCTCAAAAAATAAGTAAGTAAATAAATAAATAAAGCCAACTGAAGTTATAAGACTCATAAAAGGAATGAAAGGGAAAAGGAAAGGGAATAATGTTTAATGAACACCTTATTTATACATATTATGTAATTTCTATGAGAAAGAGTTTCACAAATTGGAAAAACAGCAGTTGATAGGGATTAAATATTTCTATGAGAAAGAGTTTCACAAATTGGAAAAACAGCAGTTGATAGGGATTAAACAATTCGAAAAACTCAGATGGTTGTTGAATAACATTTGAATAGAATTTGAACTCAGGTCTCTCTACCTTCAAAGCCTACTAAATTTCTTGTACCTAATAAGAGCAGTGGAAGGGTTTAGTAGTGCCTGATTAGCAATCTCTAAGCATGTTGCCACGACACCAGGGTGGTTGCAAATGCTCAATCACATAGGTTGCCATTCTGGGCTCTATGGAAGGAAATGAAAAATTCTTGGCTCCATTCTGCCTTCTATAATTCAAGAGTGGGTATTCCTCACAGGCAATTAATGTAACCAGATACTGTGAACTTTACTAACACCCAGAGAGTCTCCTTAGACACAAGGAGCTTGGCTGTCAGACTGAAACTTAAACACACCTTAAAGATGCTTTGGTCCCCTCCATCTTTGGGGTACATTAAAGCAAATTTTTTATGAGGGGTGGTGTCCTGGACGTTGACCAACTTACAGGCAGGGGGCTGGACCAAGTGATCTCAGATTCTCTTAGCATATTGAAAGCTTTGTCTTGAAAAATAAAACCAGCTCAAGATATGAAAAAGCTCCCTAGAAACTGAACCTCGTTGGCTATTACTGGAAGTAGAAATGGAACCTTCCAAAAGTACCCCCATCCTTATCTTCTGATGTTCAGAAACTGATATTCCAGAGTGTGAAATAGGAATCCAGCCTGCATAAAACAATAGGAAATGGAAGCTGCTACACAATCCCTTGAGGAGAGGGAGAGAAAAACGGGCCAGATAGGAAGCTTGTGGCTTAATGAATAATTATCGAAAACACCATGGGTGTTTCAAGGAAGGGAGCCTGAACATGGAAGTCTGGCTCAAGCCAGGCTTTGACGAAATACATACAAGGCTGCTTCACTGTAGCATTTCAACAGATTTGATTATACAGTTCTATAACCAGGACAGAACAGCTGATGCTGAGGTGTTTAGTTGTGTGGCGTGATTATGTGTGCACCACTGAAGATCAGTTTTTAATAGTAACAATGGCCCTGATGCCCATCATTTTCATAGTATCTCCAACTTTTCCAAACCCTATACTTTTCCTATATTTTTAAAAGCACCTACCAGCTCACCCCCCCCCCCAAAACTTGACATAATTAGCTTCAGGGATGAGACTCAAAATATTTAACCGTAGGGACATTGCTCAGTCAGCATAGAAGCCAGCAGTGTTGGGGGAGGGTTCTGAAACTAGGGCTCCTAAGTATTAAATCTTATATTGCTGGGCTTTGGGATGGTAGAGGCTCCCTGAAGGGAGAGAGGGATGATAGGAAGTCACTCGGGAGTCTCAGGACAGCACCTGTTTGTCACTCTATATGAAAGTGTTTCTATATTTTAATAATTTGTTGTCTGTGGCACTGCCTACCAACTAGATGTCAGTCCATTTGCTAATGAGCAAACTGAAGTTCGAAGAGGCTGTGTGATTTTCCTGTGTCTCACAATAGGTAGACAGTAGAACTGGAATCCAATGCAATTTCTCTCCAAGTGGACCTAACTCTGGGTAAAATATGTGTTCTTGGTCCAGAAATCGCTGAACCCCTTCTTCCCAGGCATCTTTATTTTCTGCACTGGGATCTTGCCCAAACTTATTCCTGAGCAAATGATTAAGTAACACGTGGTAACTCCATATGAAGGAACATAAGTTATTAATAATAATACTTTAGAAATTTATTTATTGACATGAAAAGAGTTTTATATTATGTAGATAATGAAAAAATAGGCTACAGCACTAAGATACTATATTTTGAAAGGAAAATATTTATCGATAGGGAAGTGTAAGTGGCGAGAATATGCGTTTTAGTGTGACATAGTTGGATTGCAGTCCCAGCCACGGTCCCTAAGAAACTCTGTCATCCTGGTGAGACCCCCTAACCCCCTGAGACTCAGTCCCCTCACCTGTACAACATGGAAACCATGGCATCTCCCTCACAGGGAGGTTTGTGAGAAAAGTGGGATAATGTTAAGACATGGATCCTGCCACACAAATGGTGCTCAGTTAATGTTATTTACTAATATTATTTATGGATAGAAAAAAAACTGCAGGGGTACATAGAAAACAGAAAAGTGTTTCTTTGCATTTATTATGCACTCATGATACCAGCCCTGCATTGGCTGCGGGCAGACAGTAGGATGGGAGGTCGAGCCCCGCCCTCCAGCGTCCTGGGCTTGGCGTAGTTCATCTTTGATTGATTACCAGCGAGGAAGATAGCTTTGATGGCTTCCAGAGAGAGCAAACACCCCAGAGCAGGAACTAGTGCTCTGGGGTCTGATGGGATCGCCGCATTGGCTGGTTCCCCCTCTCCTGTTTCCTGGGAGGTTGGACACGTTCTGCTGCCCTGTATTTGGTGGTGAAGTTTCCATGCTCATTCTCCATTTCTCTAGCCCCCACCTATTATAGATTTTGGAAAGATAATCATCTACACGAACAACCTGAAAATCATTCGAACCCCGATGGACAAGAGAGACTTCATGAAGAAAATGCTCCAGAACGAAGAGCCTGAGGAGGAGTCTCTGATGAGCAAAGAGGACAGCTATGGAGACCAGGACCAGCACGATGGGCCTCTGCTGGAAGCGGACAGCGCCTTCCCCCACAACCAGTACACACAGGTGCGCCAGCCGGCGTGGCTCTCCTACTGTAGCTGACCCTACGGCAGGGGCCCCCAAATTGGTTCTAAGTAAAAACTTTTGGATGTGAATACTTAAGATATCTAAATATACAATTCTTTAATTCTATTATTTCTTATACCATATTGTAAGTTGTGGGAGCACCTATTTTCAGAAAAGGGCCAGAAACGGTAAGATGTGGGTCACAACTGCAGATCTGAATAAAAAAGTCAGAGTAGGCCTGATGTGACAATTACCTTTAAATTCAGTGAGGAGAGATCCGTGTTCTTTAGCTGTAATACTGTAAACTAGGACAGAGGTGTACAGCAGCAGGTTGCTGTGAAAGGTTATACTTCACTTGTCCGGCCTTTAAACTCTGTTTTAAATTGCTGTTTGTTTGCCCCATCCCTTATGCAGTAAATTCCCAGACAAGCTTTATCCTAAAAGAGAGGGTCAAAGAACATCAAGGAGTCCCTTCTGACCAAGAGCCTCTTTGTTCTGTAATATGGAACAGGGCAGCAGGGAGAATCGGATGCAAGGGCAGGGCACGGCTGAAAGCCAGACCAGGCTGGCGTCTGTGCATTAACTCTCAAAGAGAAGGAGAAGAATAATTGAATCCAGCTACAGTAAACGGTGGAATGGGAAAAATTGGGCTTTGTGCTCAGCAGATGCAAGGCCATAAATCATCTGAGCTTCTTTATGCTTTATGTGATCTCACCTTTGAAATAATCGTAATAATCATCACCATCATAATCGCAATCATAATAGCTGCTGTTTATTTACTGAGGGCGTCTGATAGCCTGGCACCACTGTGCTTTTCATGCAGTAGTCCATTTAATTCTTACCAGGATTCTGTGAGGTGGGTATTATTTATGGTTTCATTCTGCAGCTGGGGAAACTGAGGCTCAGAGAGGTTTACTTGCCAAAAGTCACAAGAGCTAGTAGACAAATCTAAGTCCATCTGCCAACCAATCTCGTGATTGTAATCCCTCATTTGTTATGGGATCTCTAGATTGG